TCTGAGCATCTTTGTGGCCTCCTCTGGACTTTCTCTGACAGCTCCATGTCTGTCTTGTACTGGGACCCCAGAGCTGGATGCAGTACTGCAAGTGGCATCTCAGGAGAGCAGAATAGAGGGGCAGAATCCCCTCCCTCGACCTGCTGGTCACACTGCTTTTGATGAAGCCCAGGACATGGTTGGCTTTTTGGCCTGCAAATGCACATTGCTGGGTCATGTTGAGCTTGTTGTCCACCAGCACCCCCAAGTCCTTCTCAGGACTGCTCTCAATCCATTCTCTGCTGTGCCTGTATTTGTGCTTGGGATTGCCCCAACCCATGTGGCAGTTGGAAGTGTTTCTCAGCATATTACTCTGTGAAAGAAGCTCCGCTAAGCTTTGAAAACACTTTCTCTTCTGCTGGCTATTTTTAGGAGACTTCTGCAAACATAATGGCTTTTATGAGGTCCAAATGAAAACCGTTGAAAGGACGTAGAAGACTAATCAGCTTTCACTTGTGACTATAAGAAAGTACCTACACTGGAATGAGTGTATCCACAGCCTTCTGCACAAAGAAATGATAGCCTGAGTCCATGTGTTATGATGCTATGAGGCAGCTTAATCCAATTTATCAGGTTCCTTGATGGCCTGTTGGGCTCTGTTGCCTGTGTCATATGAAGCAAGTCATTGCAAATCGATTTGCATTTGTTTAATGGTGAGGATGCAAGTGGATCAGAACTGTCTACTGCTGAGAGTGAAACCCACTTTATTTACTGGTAGAAGCTTTCTTGAATGTGGTGAGGCAGGAGGTGGGAAGGAAGGTTCTTGGCAAAGAGATCATTCACCAGGCACATGTACTTTAGAGCATGACCCTTTCCTCATCACCAGGTCCAGTTTTCTTGAATCCTGTATTTCTATATACTTGTGGATCAAGGAAGGCAGCCAGAAATAAGGTGGATGATTCTGACAGACCAACTACTTGAACAGTTTAGCAGTGTTTTCAATAGCAACATTTAATATGGGAACTACTGATCTTGGTACTTCTACCTTGCATTCTTATACCACCACAGTTTATGTCCATCTGGGACCCCTGGCACAGACATAGTATGGGAAGATTCAGCTCTGAACAGTACAGGCACGTTGCAGATTTGAGGCACCAACATCTTAGGTCTAGGATCTTTCTGCTTATCGGATCACAATACTATTCAGAGACTAGGACGAGTAGAAAAAGTGCCGTCCAGCTATGCCCTGAATAATGGTGGGGTAGCAACGCTGCAGCAGCAAGGCCACAGCAGGAGCAGAGGCAGGAGAGAAAACAGAGAGAGCAGGTCTGGGAAGAGAAGAGGGAAGGTCCTCTTCTAGAGAGGTAGGAAAGCCCAGGCCCAGGAAAATCTTCACTGTGCTGAGCAGGTCTCTGGATTCCTCCAAGCCTGGACAATCCCTGTTCTACACAACAGGACTAGATGAAAGGCAGGTCAGACTTCACCTTCAAAGGTGGCTGTAGGCAGAGAGGAGTGGAGGACCCTCCTCAGTCCTTGATCCTCATGTATGGACAACAAAATTCACTTCCACTTTCCGTGGGCAATGCCAGTCCCTGCCTCTATGGTCCCTTCTCCACAGCACAGAGAGGTGGTGAGGGGCCTGCCTGGGGTCACCAGCTTGAAGGAAGAAATGGTACAGGCTGTAATGACGATTCTCATCAGAGCTGCCCACATCCTCCTTGTCAGGTCAGGATGTTGCCCTAGAGTACAGCTCACCTTCCTTAGACGTCACTACTTTGTCTCTGGCTCACCTCACACATGGTACGTTACACTGTTCCCAACGAACTTTCCTCTCTCACAGCTGGCTAGAAAACAGGAAAGTCTGAAGAGGAACATTTCTCAATCAAATACCAGTGACCTTTCCACCTGTAGTAAGTGGTTCCTTTCAAACAGATTCTTCCTTTATTATTTTTTTAATTTTGTTTTTGCGTGGGGATAGGAGACAGGTCACACTTCCTTATGGCAATGTATGTACATTCTCTCTTCCCCCCCCATTACAGGTGTAGAAATGCGTAAGAACAAGACCACAAGTATTATTTGGCAAAGTCACTTTGTGAGAGACCGCATTCTCCATCTTCATAATCTGTTAGCTGGGAGTTCAGACACGTAGGTAGTATGTTTGCAAGTACACAAAAAGAAGTATTGCTCAAAAAATGTTTTCTTTCCTACTTTTTTTAATTACGCATTTAAGTAACAGGTTTGAATGTATTTGTCCTCTATACAAAATCTTATAAATGGCCTACATTTTCTCAGAGAAACATGTAATTGTGAAGAACCATAACCCCCAAAATATGGAACACTGTACCGGAGCAATTCCTTATGTGCAGGCCCTGTGCATTTTCACTTACGGCTCATTATTGAGATATTTTTACTGCAAAGAAATATTTTTCTTGGCCTACTTTCCAGAGTGTGTCATGGTGCTACACACTGCATATCAGCAGTAGCAAAAGAAGTCATTTCTTCTTTCTCAGATATTCTCAGAGAGACACTCAACCAGGAGCTCAACCGAGATGCTCTGAAACGTCCAGCATTGAAGATGGTAGCTTATTTGGGTGCTGGGATGGAAGAATCAACCTTCTTTTAGACCTCAGGTGTATTTGGACTTGAGAATTTTAAAGCCAGGTTTTTATATGTTCTATTCATGGTAACGCTAGGTGTTATCTTGATGCAGAACATTCCTCAAACAAGATCTGGATGGTGGAATAGTCAAGTACAAGCCATCCTTTGCACAGATTGCAAAACCAAACAATGAAGCAGATGGCTGGTGAAAATATTCCACCTGCAGGTCTTGGGTTGCCTCTCACATTATCTGGTACGGGATGGGTTCCTGCAGTTTACGCTTCAAGAGAAATCCTCCCACAGTGAGAACAGCAGCTACAAGCACCATGGCGGTCACAGCCAGAGGAACGTGGGAGCTGGCAGCCGGCGCTGAGCTCCGAGACTCCTCTTTCGCCCGGATGTCAGAGCCCAGCTCTGTGCATGAAAGAGAAAGAGAGGCTTACGTTTGTTTTCTTAAGCCAGTTAATCTCAAAGCTAATTAGGCAAAGAGAACTGGAATTAAAATGTTGCAATCTAGATCTGATCGGAAACCAAATTGCTTTATTGCACATTGTTTCACGAATGATTTGGTGGCCATGTCAAACAAGTAAAGATTATGTCAAGAAATTAAAGAGCAACTAAGAGTTTGTAATGATTACACTCTAAGACCGTAAGATGTTTGTTTTCTGATAGTGGGAACAGCAGCTACAGGACACTGGGAAACAACATTTCCAAGGGGACCTACAGATTGGTTGCTAATAAATAAGAGACATGCCAATCAGGCACAGACAGCAGTGAAAAAATAACATAAATCCTGCAGGGAGACAAATTACATCTCATCCCTCTTGCCACAGAACTGGATCAATTGCCATTTGACATGTGGCAGCACAAATAAGGGATCTAAACTATGATAGAGAGAAAATAGCTTGTAAACCTTATGAAACAATCTTATAAAAAGTAAAATAATAATAATCCCCCATAAGAATTATAGCAGAGTTGTGAATAAATCAGCAAGGGTATATTTCAGAGCTGGATTTCCTGTCTGAACTGACTCGCAAACGTACAGTAATATACAGTCTCACGTAATTTAAGTTATTTAAACTTACCAATGTTCCTGTTCTCAGCGTGAGCTTCCCGAAGCTGAACAGGTCCAATAACAACATTCACTTTTCCCTGGGAAGAGCCTGCTTTCCTCTTGAACCTACTAACACAGCCTTGATAGCAGCGGGAAGAGTAGTCATTGTACCTGCACACCACCAGCTCACACTGCAGGTAAACTGACGGGTGTCGATTAACAAACGAAAAAGCATTAAATGAAAACCGAGCAACACCACTGTATGGTGAAGAGTAAGAAGAGTAGGTGGGATCCTTAACACACCTGGAAAGATAGAAAATGAGCAGATCAGCTATTGCAAATAGAAACACTGTTACGCTGTCTCTGTGCAATGTGTTTCAAGTTCAAATATAAAACCAGAAGGTAAGGATATAAAAGAACTCTAAAGGATAAAAAAAAAAAAAAAAAGAGTATTTTTTAGCAAGGAGAGAAAATAAGAGACAAAAATGAGTAATGGTGACAGTGATTTCTACCACAATAACGTGTACAGCACAGAAATTTCATAGCTCAGCAAAGTTCATGTAAACATGAATAACTCAAAAATAACTAGTGGTTCTACTGGTTTCTGTGTTTCAGGTATAGGTGAGGACCTGTTTTGCATTTGCAAACAGGATTACCTGTTTGCAAAGAGGACCCTCAAGATTATTGCAGAAAGAGAAAGTGCCCTTTTCTACTCTGGAAAGACAAAACTAACTCTAATACACATATTTTTGGTGAAATAAATGTGTTCTTTAATCCTTTGATGTTTGTAGAGTACCTTGCTTGAGGAATCTCGACACCTGACAGAGATCTCCAGATGTTTCACAGAGCAAGTTGCTAGATTAACTTTCATGTCAATGAGTTCTGCTTCCTGACAATTAACCAGCCTTAAAAGTTACCTAACTTAGATGCTAGTCATTCTGGTTTAATTTAACCACCATGTAAAAAGATCACAATAATCCACCCACAATTGTTACCCTAGAATATTTCAAAATTGTCATTAGTTATCTTTGTGTGTCAAAAACTTCCATTGTACTAGTTTCCCTAGGATTTTAAGTCATCTCATTCTCAGTTTATTTTATCCTGCAGTTATATCCCAACACACCTGACATTTATAAGTGAATATTATTGATTTGGGATTCAGTAAATACATTTGCTTTTGACACAGTTCCTTGTAACGTGGATAAAAATGAACTGGAAAGTGATGAGAATCTGTTTGCCCCGTCTCCCTGGTGAGTGTCTTGCTCACAAAGCTAGACAGTCTGCTTGATGAATATGTATTTTTATAGACAAGATAAAAAGAAGCCCTCTACAAGAGGAAAACCTTCCTAATAGTGTAAAAAGGGAGGATGTTCACCCAGCAGGCAGGAGGCACTGTGTCACTTCATTAGCCTGTTGCAAGACTGACTTTCACTTAGTAGTAGGTTACTCCACCACAAAGGTTACTCCACCACAAAGGTTACTGGTGTGAACACCCTCCCAGGAGGCAGAGAAATTTAAATCCCAACAAGCACAGAAGGGAAATAAACTAGCATGAGCCTTTCATTCCTGGGACAAAAAGGGACGCTGAGAGACACACTTTTATGCTTCTAGCTCCCTGTCAGTTTTGCATTCTTTATGAGTCCACAACTTTTCCATTTCAAATCAAAAGGCACATTTTCTATCAAATTAAGCGAAATGTTTTGGGTTTTTAGAAGAGTAAGAGAAGGCTGAGGAACTTCTCTACTTTTGGAACTGTTTTGTGTTCTAGTTACGATGCTGTAAAACTCTAATTCTGATGTATGGAAATGTAAAGTCATTGACATCCTTACATTTCATGTATCTGTTTCTGAAACAAATTCAGATCTCAGTTTCTACACTGCCTCCTTGAGTGAAATCTCAGGGCTTGACTGCAACTTCTGGATGGCATTTCTTTGTTATATTATATTTTATTCAGGCTTTGACAAAAAGTCTTTCTCAGAAATGTATTTGTGTTGAGAATTGCAACAAATGTACACTGGCCTTAAATCACCTCTTTCATAAGTGAAGCTTTCAGAGCTATGCATGCATGAGATGATACTTTTAAAATAGTTCTTTAGAAATTTCTTACCCACTTCTGATCAATTCATAGGCCAGTGTTCTAAAATTGCTAGGATCAGGTGATGCCACGCACGTGTCCACAAACACTACCAGATTTGGGTCAGAGCTGTAAAGAGAAGCTTGAAGGAACAAATTCTGATTCAGGTCAACATAGTATGGAAAGTCATGCACTGGCCACAGGAAAGATGATGAATTGTAAAATGTCAAGTTCACATCATATCTGCCATACTGGGTTTCGCTGACATTAATGATGTCATCAGCAATGTACATTACTTGCACCCAGGTGTTCTGGAGCATTTTGCAGTTGATGTACAAGTGAAGGTCCTTTTGCCTCTTGATGATGTAACCAGGAGCAGGCACTTTTATCACATTGGAGTAGATGATCGTTTCATTGTTGCCCTATTTGACATATTAGATAAGTACAAAGTTATCGCATGTAGTCATGTTCACAACCTGTACTATAAACTTCAGTATGTGTCAGGTCCTAGTATTGTCAGAAATAACATATCATACTCAAAAGTTTCAAGCATCTTGGGTGGGATAGTTCACTTAGCCCTCTCTCATACTTCTTTTTCTAGAACATCACTGAAATAGATACAGGAATTACTTAAAACTTGGGAAGGATAAGTAGAAGTGTTTAACAAACGTTAGCCTCCAGAAACACGTTTCTTATCCGTGTTTTAATACTTGTGGGCTACAACACCCTTTGCGATTCATGACAATTTTCCAAATTCCTATTAAGTTTCCCAGTCTTGGAGAGTTCTCCAAAATATTTTGACACCAACCTGTCTACGTGTACCACAGCCATTGTATGGAATGTTGAATATAACCTCAGTCGATGTAATTGTTGGTCTACAATAAGAGTCAGACAAGCTGATGTTCGATACCGAGTAGCCCTGTGATTGGAGATAGTGTCTGTCTACAGCTGCGCGCATGTAGGTTGGCAAGCACACAAGGGCTAGGGAAGAAAAGATGAATTATTAGTGATTTTAGGTACTTGATAATGCTTACATGTTACAACAAATGCAATAGCTACTACCATTTAGGGGAGAATATTCATAAGCCCAACCACTTATTTTTACACCTTAGACATGAATAAGCAATACTCTCTAACAAACTTCAGTTGACCTTTAGTTAGTCTCCTGACAAAAATATGTAGTTTACAATAGGTTTTTGCTGAGACTTTGAGCCTGTATCACTGCTCACACAAAAATGCTAAGAAACGAGAGGTTTTCCTGAATAAGAAACCAAAAACTGTTGTGGAAGGTGTAGAGCTAAATGTGCACACTGGCTTGCAGAAACGCTACTTGGGTGGGAGGGGAACCTGAAACCATCTCCATGATGGTTCACTGAGTCCATGACATGAAAAGCAATGATCCCAAGGAGCATTTGGCCTTTGGGAGAGAGAGACATCTGATGACAGGAACCTACTGGCAACACGCAGCAGGCAGTTACAAAGACAACAGAACAAAACGTGATGGCCATTGTTTGTGCCTGGGGAGGTTGTGAGTGCACATTAGAATAAACTTTCTCACTGGGACTGCAGGACAATACTGGAACAGATCACCCAGAGAAATTGTGGCTTTGAAGATTTCATCCTTAGACCATTTCTAGAGACTCAGCTAGAAAAATTCATTATGGACTTGATCTGGTGTTGGCAATAGCTCTGCATTGAATAGTTGGACTAGGAAGCCTCCAAAGGTGCTTTCTAAACAGTATTTCTATGATTATATGAAGATCTGTCCACAAAGGTATAAAAAATATATGAATAATGAGGTGAGAAGAAGAAAGATTAATTTAGACTGGCCATCTTAGAAAAGGTCTAAAGGCAATTGATTTGATACTTGAAGGATTTTTAAAATGAAAAAATAATTATTGTATGAAAGTGATTGGTCAATAACCAGTTATGAAATTCAAGTAGGAATGTCATCTATGTACAATAACATTAACAAATACTTATTTAGCAAAAAAAAATATCAGGGTATAAAATCTTCTGAGCAAAGAAAACATTAGAAACAGAATGGAAAATTACTGGTGTTCTGGTCTGCTGGAAAGGACTGATACTTAGCATGAAACCCTCTGTTGGAATATCTGGAGTCACTGTGAAATCTGACAGTCATAAAGTTTGAGGTCGATGTGTACGTGAGATCAGAACTAGAACAAATTCTTCCAAGCACAGGAGAAGTATTTGGTGGCCCATCATAGATTTCAATATAGTCATTCTGGCATCCACCTTGCAACCTGAGGAAGAAACATGAATATATAGTAAAATGCATTTGGAAAACTTTGGGTTTTAAGTGCTGAACAAACAATAAAATAAGATCATGCACTCAAACAATTCCCATATAATATTTATAATTAATGTATAAGCATGGAAAATGTGCTTGGGAACTGCGGTTGTAGTTGAGATTTGGGACCCATTTATTTCCCAGACAGGAAGTGGTTTACTTACTGAATGCTTGCAAATGTGAGCATAATGCGGAAATTATTCGTTACTTGTATTTGCCACAGACAATCTGCATTATCTGGATAATTCAAAGGATAAGAAGGACTCTGAAGTGTTCCGGAGGAATTAAAAAGTAAGCCACCACAAATATATTTTCTAGCTGGAAAAAAAACCAAAAAACAAAAACCAAACAAACAAAAAAACCCCCATATAAGTGATTCATTTAGACTTGCTTGGTTAGTTGAAAATACATTTTATGTATCCAAACAATAGGAACAAGAGCCTAAAATCGAGAGAAACCGAACAGTTGTGCTCTTCTCACTCAGGCTACAAGTGTGATGATCTCTTCAGAGAAATCTGACTCTTTCTTGATGTTTTTGCATGTGGTAGGCTTAAGGCATATATCTCTATGAGAGGAAGAAACAGGTGATGGCCCAGACAAAGGAGACAGAGGAGAGGAGAGGAGAGGAGAGGAGAGGAGAGGAGAGGAGAGGAGAGGAGAGATGTTAGAAAAAAATGTATACAATCTGAAATCCAGCA